ATAAAACCAATAAAAATTCAAATATAAAACTTAAAAATAACCTAAAACCATGACAGTGGGATTATAAAATAGATTAGGAAATAGGATTAGGAAAGGGATCATCTTTGAAATTTATAAATATTACGTGAAGTGTGGCTTTAAGGTTAATATAAATGCAGTTTGTTCAAAGATTTTAATGGATGTAGGAGACACACTTCAGAAGATACTAAATTGAACTTTTATCCCAATACATTACCAAGAAAACGCCATGGCAACAGTAGAACATGGTGGTGGCTGCCCATGGCGGCTCATCCTTAACAGGGGCAGGGAGCCAAAGTTGTTGTTTCAGGAAACTTAAATTCCTTCAGGTTTCAACATGTTTTATAAGTTATTAATTGCAAGTTTAAGCCATGCCCCACTTAAACCTGGATGGACAACTGTTGAGAATTTGCTCCAAACCACTTCCTGCCTCTTTAGAATCAAGACTATACATAAATATATCTTTGTGTTGAATCTCTATTTATTCAGAATCAGACTAAGACCAAAAACGTTGCCTTTACATTTTTACCTATAATTTTAGTTGGTCTGATGCTAAAAATTAACTCTTTCATGCTACAGTTTTCAGTGCATAACATGAAAACCATGCAGATGGTACTTCCTTTGCCATCCTGCTTGGTGGAGAACCCTTTCAACACTACTAATCAAGAAACAAATATTAGGACATTTCTCCTAAAATAGGCCAGTCATCAAAGTAAAGGCATAAATCATGTGATTTTAAGACTTTTTTTTTTTAGGATCTTAAACAACTTTCCCAGAGAGAATTTGACAAATAAAAGCCCATTCTGTCCCTTCCTGCAGGCATGGGTTGTGTTTAATTACTGTGTAAACCTTGAAGTATGTGGGGTGATATTTCAACTGTTAGCATAAACTCTGCATTCGTTACATGATGTTCTCCGACCCCTAAAAGCACCTCCTCACACGCAGACACTTGGAAACAGGCCGTAAAAGTGCTGAATCGATTTTTCTGAGCACCATAAATCCAGTAAAATGGCTTCTCTGTGTCAGAGTTTGATCCATTTCGTCCACTCGCATTCAGAAAGTCTAGACCGGCTTTTTAATTTAATTTGTTTTTATCTGCTCCCATCCATGTGCGCAGGGAGCCGACAGGAAGCTGTCTGGCTTGTCTGCAGACGGATGCTAATAAACATGCTGAAACATGCCTTTGGTGCGTGAGAGAGTGAATAATCGGGCTCTTGGAGAGCAGTGCACTGCTCTGAATGGCCCATTTGCAGTGATACAGAGCAGGCTCATCAGGATGGAGAGTCAGGCACTAAACTAGATCCTTCTGAAGTAGAGAGAACTGATGGCCTTCAAAAGGTCTCCAGGTAGTTTTTACTGTAAACTTATTTGGTAAAGTAAAAAAAAAAAGGGTTTTATTTATGAGGACACATATATAAACATATCATAAAGCCCCTGTCACACCTTGACGATTTAGCTAGCATATGCCTGACATTCCAGAATCTTCTAAAATACTTGCATATGTTGAACTTTTTTATTTATTGTTACATTTTTGGTGTATGGATAGAGTATTCATAACAAGTCCAGAACATATGTCCAACGATGGCCTAAAGTATGCATAATGCACGGCAGCGTTATGCACATTAAATGTCACAAGCCAGTGTCCTGAGGGGGGCAGCGATGTGCCCAAAGGCGCTTGAAGGTGCATAAAAAGATTTCTTTGATCGCAGCATTAACCAAGCTGCTGTTTAACGCCTGCTAAAAACAAAAAAGAATAGATAAATAAAAAGAAACAGAAAGAAGCTTTGCAGTGGCAGCAGATTCAGCGTCATGTCTTCTAGGAAGTTTGTTGGCCGTAGGCGTGAACGCAGGGAGGATCCATCACACTCACCTTCACGCTCACCTTATGATGGGGACGAATCCTGGAGGAAAACAGATGGTTTCCTCCTGTGAACCCCCTTCAGACCAAACCTCCGATAATATGCCATCATGCAGTGGCTGTAAGTTAGAAACACATTCAGCGGGCGTCTCGAACACGTCAGATACGTTGATATGAGTTGGAGATAAGTTCTTGATAAGTTACGCATAAGGTATGCACAAGTTACTCATAGGTTTTGGATAAGCTAGACGCCACGACTTATGAGTAACTTAGGCTTATCGTATGTTAACGATCAAATAACTTACCTGTAACTTATGGTCCACGTATGAGCACAAACTAGCATATCGTACAAAATTTTTAGCAAGCTCAAACTTTCTCAATGTACTTGCCTTATGTCGACGTGTGCCAGCGTGTTTCATTATGCTCATAAATTATGTAAAAGGTACTCATAACTTATCCAACGTATGGCAATGTTTTTGCCAGATTTTTCGTACCTCAGGCATACGCTGGTCTAAATCGTCAAGGTGAGACAGGGTCTTTAGTGAGGTGATAAACGCTTGGATCTAGACACCGTGAAGTCATTGGGTCCATCAGCATGGAAGATCTCTTGGTAACTGGCTAACTGTATAGCCTTCGGTCATCCAGACGTCATTACGCAATAGACACATGAACGACACTGGTCAAATTAGGAGAATAGCCTTCCAGAAATAAACCACAAAAAAACAAAAAAAACAGCTGAAGCCCTGCGTTGTAAAACCCAAAATATATGAAGGTGTCTACATTAGAGGTTACAGGTTATAGGTCCTATATTCTAACTGAATTGGTAATAGGAAGCTTCCTATTCCTAGCTCATTCCTTACTGCCAGCATTATCAGGATACCCCGAATATGGCAAACAGTGACACATTTAGGTAGAGGGAGTGTTGGCCTAGTGATAAAGAGGCTTCTGCTCTGAGAAGGTTGCAAGTACCTTCTCAGATTCCCATAAGGTCCACTCTGGGTTCCTGAGCAAGACCCTTAACCTCTGATTGCTCCCCGGGCTCCACACAATGGCAGCCCCCGGCTCCCCATGGGGATGGGTCAAAATGTAGAGAACAAAGGGATTTATATTTGGTGAGGAGTGGCGTAGAGCTTGGAATACAGAGGTTCTGAGTTCGAGTCCCACTCCCACAGACTGCCACTCTAGGTGTCTGAGCAAGAGCCTTAATCCCACACTGCTCCCTGTGCGCTCCACGATGGCAGCCCACTGCTAGGCAAGGGGATGGGTTAAATGCAGAGGTAAATTTCTCCAATGTGAGATCAATAAAGTTAATTTATTATTATGATTAATTATTATTATTTCATCATGGCCTAAGTGTTCTTACCAAATTTAAGGCATTTTCATTGAGCCCTGGCATCTCTTGCATTGCTGAAATGTCAGATTCTTATTGGTTGAACTTGACCTGAGCAACCTGTGACAGCATGTCAAAAGATTAAGAATGAAAGAAGGTCCTCTGGTCTAATGGAACCAAACTTTCACATTTTTATCCTTTGTTAAAAACCCTGACACTAAAAATGCAATGATGGTAGGTGAGTTCATGTGTAAGGATGCCGTTTTTAAAATACAGGACAGTCCTGTCATACAGTTAAGACTTTGGGTTGGGATGGGGTTCTGCCATCTTATAGGACAACAGCCCTAAACATACAGTCAGAGCTAGAATAGAGAATAATTGATAAGAGTTAAAGCTGGTGATTTTGTTCCAGTATTTACTATTTTGAAGGAGGTACCTCTAGACGTGCAAGGCTGGTGGTTTTGAAAAACCTTGTTTGGGAATAATATACAGTCAAACCATGCATCAGTTTTCAGATTTGATCTTTGAGACGATAAATCAAAGCCATTGTATTATTTTCTATATGAGACAGGGCACAAACACATTGAATCAGAATGATGTGGGATTCTCCCAGTGGAATGTTGACCATGTCCCAGTCCACTGAGGTGGAACTATTAGTTTATTCAGATGTGGCTGCCTGACCTGGAACACTGAACCCACTCTCTTTCTAAATTTACCTTGGCTTTCTAGTTTAGAGGTTCATGTGCCAAGTTTAGGTTTTAAATTAGGTTGGTTTGGACTTTTCTCCAAATGCTGATGAGGAGAAATGTGGCTCTCACTTGAGGCTTTCCTCCTTTTTTCTAGATTAAACTACTGCTGGAGCTTTTTTATAGTAAGGTTCAGAATAATTATTTTTTCTTATGATGATGCTGATGGATTTTTTAAAAATGGGTAAATGTTAAAGGTTCTAACTTGGTTCTTTCATGATGTTGATGCACTTTGATGACAAAAGACTATACCATCAGAAACCATAGATGATTCAGAAATGCAAGGGTTCTATAAAATAAGGTGAGAATAATGATCTGTTCCATCTATCTGACCGTCACCCAGAGGCTTGTCAGAAACCGGGTCAACGGTCAGACTGCTTTACAGGCCAGCATCATGTGACCTAGCAGTATAGAGTATTGATCGAAGCCTTGAACATATCAGCTGATCTATGTTTGTTATTGCTGGTAATGACAGCATCTCATGTTTTTAGAGCTCAGTGTTTAGAATCGCGCAGAACCTAAACTCTACAAACTTGTAGCTATTTTGCTGTTCTCCATCTGGTGTCCCTAATCTGATTTAATCTGTTTGTTGTTTTTTTGTTCAGCTTCTCTAAATCCACCTTTCTTCCTGCTTTAACCTTAAAACTCCACCTGATTGTTATTTTTTATCATTGTTCCTTGGATGGCTGAATCGGAGGTTGACCTGATTGGGTTTTCCTCTCTGGAGGCCTGACCTGCTCGCCACCAGCCTGCTTCCATTCTGCACACCCTGAGAAAGAAAACATCCCTGAAACGCTCCTCTTGTTCCTGAAGCCGATCCAAACTCAGATTCACTGCTTCCCTCTCTTTCTCCGTAGGCTTTCTAACAAGCTCAGCCAAGTTTAATTTCCTCTCGCCGTGCAGATTTGGGAAATAACGGCTCTGCTTGGTTCTCCCTGGAAATAAGGATGCACTGATTCCAATTTCCTCACCGTGTATCTGTTTTTAGATCCGTATCTGTTCAAATGGGCCTCACTCCACTGCCGTCTCTGTGTGTCTTTGTCCTCAGATCCGCCTGTACGCCCGGCCGGATGCCATTTCGAGCGGCGCGGGGGACTATGCTCTCCACATCACCAAGAGGCTGCTGGGATTTTATGAAGACTACTTCAAAGTGCAGTACTCCCTGCCAAAGCTAGGTAAGGCCGCTTCCCTCTCACCCCTCCCTCAATGGCATGGGGGTATTTTTTTGCTCGTCTTGTGTGTCCAAGTTCTGTTCAGCTCGCTCCATTGCTCTCTGACTCTCTGTCGATGATGCAAAGGCAGAGAAAAAGGCTCTGTTCCTCTGAAGTTTTCTTCCCTGTTCTATCTGGGTAGCCTTGTTCAAGCAATGTCAGCCAACTCTTTGTCCTCTGTGAAACTTCTGCTCAGTTCATTAGATTGTCTTGAAATGGTCTGTTTGGGCTGATCCGGTTGACATTGTTAACCTTTTGCTGTTGGATGTTAAGCTCTAACCAAGGTGAATGTGAGCCGTCATAAGTCTGGTTCAGGAAGGAGACTTGTTGTTCTGTCCAAGGGATGAACGTGTTTGAATCTTAAATGTTTGCATCCATCTCAAAACAAAAGCTAAAGACCTCATAAGCATGTTGCTGTTTTTAAAGGCCAATCAGAGAGAGAGATCCCACTAACCCAAGAGCAGCATAAAAAGCCACATTTCTGCTTTTGAAAGGCATTTTGGGGCAAATACTTTAAATTTTTAAAACCTGTTCTGTGGTCTGATAAAACTGATGTCGAAGTGCGCCTATTAAGAAAACACTACCCAAACTTAAAGTACGGAGGTGGTAGCATCATGTATAGGGTGGCCATTTCTATAGCACCAAAAAGGAGGACATTTTGCGGCATATCAATAAATTACTAAGGTGTACATAAGAATCGGGTAAAGTCACATTAATAGTACAATTCTTAGTAGTTTAAAGAGGATGCTTGTGTAGCTGAATAGAACAAAAATATTAAAGAATATAAAGAAATGCTTATGCATTCCCACTTATTGTTGTTCACTTTTTATTTTTCTGACTCTAACTAGTCCCCCAGTTTTCAACCGATTTCAACAATTTCGGTATCAAAACCTTCAGCTTCTTCAGGAGAATCCTGCTATGTCTTTTGGTAAAGATATTTTATGTAGTTTTCGCGATATTCAGCTTTTTCTGCGTTTTTTTTTTTGTCCCATTGAAATGCATGTAAATTCTTACATTTCAGCAAATTTCAGCTAAAACTTCATCATCTTTGACCTTTAACTACTTCAGCATATTTTCAGCTAGAAACATCATTCAACTTTTAAAATGTTTCCGTATATTTCTGCTATTACTGTTTAACTTGGCTTTTTGCTAACTTTTACAGTTTTGCTTCAGTGAAGCTTCAAACTTTAAAAGAAAATTTTAAGATTTTCAGATTTATAATTGAAGCCGGACGGAATTCTTCAACTGCTAGAGTGCGTGCTCTAGCTTTTGAGCTGTTCTGGTCTTTCCGAACAAATTCTTCTCACTCCCTCATTTTTCACTCAATTGAAATAAATTTTACATCAAAATGTAGGTATTTTTGTCAGGATTCAGGAAATGTAAACCTCATTTGTGTGGCATTTACAGTTTTCCGACAGTTTGGCCCAGACCACGAAGAAGTCCACACTTCCCCAATAGAAATCCAATGAGAGACTTTTCAAAAATCACAGACAAAATCCAAAACGACACATATATTCGTATCGCTCCCATTTCTTAACCATTTGATGTACTAACATGAAACTTGGTATAGAACATCTTCAGACCCTTCTTGCACTCACATTGAAGGAATTATTTCAATATCATATATAGTTTAGCTGTTTAGTTGACTTGTTCTGGCATAGGAAAACGTTGATTCTGAGAAAAATCCTCATACTCAGAAAAAACAAATTTTTACATCGTCACCGTGGCCAAATAGTTTTTAGTAGAAACATGAAAGTTGGCACAGTTGAAGCCAAAGGATGGCTGACGCCAACAGTAAAATAATTTTTTGAATACCTTTTACAGTTTTGGATCACCGCTCGTTTGTTCGGAGGGGAAGTTGTGCTTTTGAGAGCTCTGCTCTACCATTGCACTCTTGATCAGCATAAAGAAATCATCCTTGGAGGATTGAAAATCTACAAACCTATGTGCAAGACTGACCATGAGCTCTCTTTCTATTCATGCAGATGGCTTTAATGACTGGATCATCTACATATAATTGACATGTCAACAGAATGTCATTTATGTAATTTAGCTTAAAAAACATTGAGACATTATTAGCAAATCTAAGTTAAATAAATCAGTGTGTAAGTATTCTGCACCTCTACTATAGATGATCTATTTTATATCAGAAGTTGAAATAAAAACAGTATTTGTGTTTGTGTTTGCAGCGGTTTACCCAAATAGCTCTTTATGGACGTCCATGATAAAGCTGTCACTCATTTAAAATATTGTTTTCACTGCAAAGAGTGCATAGGTCATATTGTGTCACCTTAATTTACATTCAGAGGGTTGATGGCTGTATAAATGAACACTAACTCAACACCTTTGATGTATTCTGGTCTCTGGATAACATGTTTTATTAATATATTTTCAGAAGTGTCAAGTAAGTAGTAGTAATAGTAATAACAAAGTGTACTTTATCTCCTTACTTAAGTCAAAATTTTGGTTATCTATACTTACTTGAGTAAATATTTTTTAGACAGTTTTCCACTTTCAACTCCCTACATTTTAAAAATAGACTTGTTAGTTTTGTTTTATTTAAGCTCATTTTTTATGGCCTGTCGGAATACAAAAAAAACTTCAAAATAAGTTGCTTCAGCCAGACAATTAGTTTCTTTGTGGTTGGACTCGGTGCTGCGCCAATTTGTTTTGTATATCTCATACCAAAATTAATAGTATATATATTTTTTTAAGATAATGTAAAGTTACATTTCACACTATTGCCATTAGTTATAAAAGATGGAATTTAGATGTAAGGACATTCTCATCCAGAATTGTAGTAATGTTTCCTTTAAAAGGCTAGTACAGTAAAGCATGTCCTTAACATTTTTCCTTCATTACTTTTCCTTTTTCCTTTAAGTAGGTTTAAAAATTTTACTTTTACACTTTTACTTGAGTAAAAAGCTAAAGTTAATACTAAAACTTCTACAAAAGTGTTTTTAAATAATAGAATTTATATTTCTGCTTGAGTAATAGACATGTAGACTTTTGATACCTCTGTTTATTGTGTAGGTTTGGCCCTTTCTTAGCAAAAGGCTGTCCAGGTTAAGGGGACGGTGGCTCCTGTTGGCCACCCTCTGTCACCACCTCTGCTTCTGTTACGTAACTGAAAATTGATTTAAAGTTCTTATTTTCTCATTCTTCTGCCGGGTTTGCCTTTTGGTTTGACCAGATTTATCTCTTTTGCTCTTTAAGGACTCATGAGTTAGCAGTTTCATCAAACATTTACACAAGAAACGACTCGGTTCAATGTTGGTTCTGTTCCAAGGAGACCCTAAGTAAAGTGAAAGTAAAAAGATAAAAAATAAAAAAGACAGAGGTCATGAATTTTAATAAATATTAAAGGACTACACGGCATATAAATCTATGATGAGGTTTAAAAGTCTTTTTGGCCCATTTTGCTCACATTGATGGACTTTTTATGTTTCAGACTAACTTCTTATTATACTCAAAGGAAACAGGGGACTTAAGAAAGATTGCATAGGGAAAAGACTCGTCCTTTCTCAATAATGAAATTACTTACAGAACCAGTACTGATAAATTCATTTGGTGACACAGCAGTTGAAGAGTTTGATCTATTTTTATGTAAATAAATAATCAGTAGTCATCTTCACCAAGGAGGTTATATTTTTAAGGAGTGAGTCAGTCTGTCTGTCTCTCTGTCTGTTGATGAGTTATGGATGGATTTTAAATCAATCTTTATTTGACGTGTCCCTCATGCCAATGAATAATTGGTTTAAATCTTGTTTAAGTTCCAATTCGGGGCAGAATTTTTCTCTCTCAGAGAGATTTCCTAGTTAGAATCAGAATCAATAAATATTGGTCAAAATCTTCTGAAAAGGTTGATGTTTTACCTGCCCATTGGGAGGTCTCTATCAGAAATTTTAGGTATTACCAATACTATTTAGATTCTTGATCTTGTGACAGGATAATAATAAAGTTGAATTCTATTCAATTCCAATTTTATTTTTGTTAGAGACTTGTAGTTTGGTTCATCTGGCACCAACAGCCCAGTCTTGTTGCTCATCATTCTTTAACGTCTCTCAGATTTCATATTACAGTTGGATCTGATTTGGTTTGCTGTGTGTTTAAATTAATTAATGATCTGGATTAGACTGGTACTAAAGTGAATATAAAGAAAAACTAGCAGTTATGATGAGTTCATGCAGGTTTGGAGGAACAGTTCAAAGTTTGATCAGGTTTCTTTCTGACTGAGCTTAGCCTGAATACAGGGTAAAACTCAAAGGAGCAGTGAAAAGCTCAGTCAGCTCCAGGGCTAGGATTCATCATGAGAGCATGTTGGCCAATCAGAACCTCGGTGAGAAATAAAATTGTTGAGTGATATCATTAATAAAAAAAAGGTCTTCATTCGCTCTTCTTTTTGTCATGTGTTTATCTAAAGCTCAGACCCACATGCAGTGAAGCTAAACAGAGAGACAGTAAAAGTTTGAACGGGTTTTATTGAAGAGTATTTTGAGTTTGGTGCAGAGTTCCTCCAAACTCTGCTCGGCCGGGAAACGGGAAGGCGAGGGGAAGACAGACTGTTAGATTCAGGCTCAGTGGGGAACTGGAGTTGTTAATCTTGAAGGAGAGGATTTGATGCCACTCATGTTTCCAGAAAAGAGACACGTAGACTCCAGTCTGTGTGTTGGTCTTCCAGGGTTTGTTTGATTCGGTGGAGGGCGGAACAGGGTTCACCCAGAACTCGGACGGAGCGGAATGATGCAGCCGCTGGTTGCAACTCAGTTTTCCTGTGGTACTTGAACGGGTCGTGGTGAAGATGACTTCCTTACTCACAAAGGTGGCTGGAACCAAACCTCCTGTTTGGAATCCGTCGCTCAGTGTAAAACTCAGTTGATCCCACTTGGGAGAAGGCGGTCCGAAAAAGTCCAGTTGCATGAAGGCTTCCTGCCGAAAGGCAAAGAACAAACAAAGTTGAGACT